ATAATGATAATATGTTGCTTTAAGTTGTGTGCTTTTAATCAACTCATCTAATGTTTCATTGCCACTAGTCCATCCTTTGGTTAATAGCTTTGGATCACATGATTGACACCATAAATAATGAGTATTATATCTATTGCAGGTTGGACATTCCCCATATTTTCTTTTCTTTCTTTGAATATTCATCATTTTGAAAACTTCCATCTTCAATGTAATGCATTACAGATATATTTTTTTGTAATTGGATCTTGTGTTAATCCATAAATATAAATTTTATTATGAAACTTCTCATAATTTTTCAACTAAAATAACAGATAAAATATTTAATTACAATAATAATTAATCAATAATATTTAAAAAAACTGAATATAAAAATAAAATGATTTACCTCATTAAGAAATTCATCAGATATATTCTGTGAATTATGTAATTTCTTTAATGCCACAGGCATATCTTTGCTAATTCTTTCATTATTATAATCATCTATAATTTTATAACCATTTAACTAAGTAGCTTTAGATACAGTTGCAAACACACCTTCACCTATCTTTTCAATATTTGTTAAATCATTATAAGGAATCCATTGAAGATGATTACTATAATGGTACTCAGTTGCTTTAAGTTGTGTACTTTTAATCAACTCATCTAATGTTTCATTGCCACTAGTCCATCCTTTAGTTAATAGCTTTGGATCACATGATTGGCACCATACCTGATCAGTATTATATCTATTGCATGTTGGACATTCCCCATATTTTTCATCTCTTTTCTTTGAATATTGATCTTCATGATCTTGAAGACTTCCATATTTCATGTATTCCATTACAAAGATATATTCTTTGTAGCCAGTTCTTGTGTTAATCCATAAATTTTATTTGTAAAATATTTACCATAAAATGTAACATAATTTCTGAACTAAAAAATATATTGAATTTCAGAATAATATTAAAAAATCTGAAAATAAATAGAAAATGATTTACCTCATTAAGAAATTCATCAGAAATATTCTGTGAATAATGTAATTTTTTTAATACCACAGTCACATCTTTGCTAATTCTTTTGTAATTATAATAATTTATTTCTTTATAACCATTTAACCAAGTAGCTTTGTATATAGTTGCAAACCTATCTTTTCAATATTTGTTAAATCATTATAAGGAATCCATTGAAGATAATAATCACGATATCTTGTTGCTTTAAGTTGTGTGCTTTTAATCAACTCATCTAATGTTTCATTTCCACTGGTCCATCCTTCAGTTAATAGCTTTGGATCACATGATTGACACCATGAATAACTATATTATATCTATTGCATGTTAGACATTTCCCATAATATTTCTTTCTTTCTTCTGAATATTCATTATCATCATTTTTGTCAGTAGAAGTATTATCATGACATTTATTTTCATCAGTGTTTTCCATCTTTAAAAATTATTTGTGGTGTATAATTTGTCAAAAAAAAATTTTTAAAAGCCACAGATATGTATTACACAAAACCAGTGTTGTGCAATTAGGGATGGGACGGTTTATGTCACGTCCGGCGACGAATATTATTTTTATAATTGATCCGTGACGATTAATTACTAAATTATAAGTGACATTTATATTGCCAAAACAAGACAAATTAATTGTCACTAATAATTTAGTAATTAATCGTCACGGATCAATTATAAAAATAATATTCGTCGCCGGACGTGACATAAACCGTCCCCATCCCTATGTGCAATTGGAACATTGTAAATGCTATTGGAATATTCCAATGTAGATCTTCAATTGATATTAACCAATAAAATTCGTGTGTATGACACTGTAATTGAATTTCATTGGTTAACTTCATTGGAACCTCGCACAAAACGTTAAAAAAAATTTTCATAAATAACAGTTTCATTTGATCCAAAAATCCATTTGGTAAAGAAAAAAATAAATAGTTCAGCTGATTGGCCCTCTCAATTGCCAGATCCTAAACTGATTAAACATCTTTGGAGTGAACTTGTATATTTCCCTTCCCGTACATATTTAATACATAGTGTTGTATGATATAATTGATACAATACATTCAATTTTTTTTTTCTTGGCAAAAGTGATTGATGTTCTGAAAATTTCGTCAAAGACCTCTGGGCACAGAATCACACATATGATTAAATTATAAAGTGCATGTTGTACAATAATCTGATTAACATTTTGCAAAAAAAAAATGTTTATTGCAAGATGTTATTGATTTTCTGAAGTCTCAAAAAAATGAGTTGTATCTTGTCAATGACGACATCAATAAATTTCAAGAAGAATAGAATCTCCGGTTCAGACTTTCTTGAGTTGAATCAAAATGATCTTGAAAAATGTGGATTATTAGTAGGACCAGCATAAGCTTAGTTAATAAAATCAAAGGTGAAATACAAGGTAAGTACCACAACTGCATATGAACACTTTAAATCTATACCACTTTCTTTGCAATAATTTCATCTATTAACTTATGCCTCATATGCTTATTACTGTTATATAGAGCAGAAGCTTCAAGGTTTGTATAGGTATCATATTTTTGTGCTGATACCTTTATTTTTCCATGTGTTTTCTTTTTTACTGCCACTGAATGCAAAAAAAATATCAACCAATTTTGTGTATTATTTTCTCAATATAATAGCATCAGAAGGTAATTATTAATTTTATCTTTTTTTCCCTCTGTTATTGTTATTATTCTGACATTCCTATGATATTTTATCATCTTAGACATTACTGTTCAAATAATAAAACAATTAATTAAAAGTCTTGATCAATTTCCTCATAAAGCTCACTTGGCAAATTTCCTTAATGAAAATCCTCCAGTAAAAACACTGCTTGCTCCTAATTATTTTTCCAATTTAGTACTGTAGGTTCAAGTGGCATAACTAAAGAAGAACGAGACACATATTTTACACTAAGTACAAAAGCAGAATGTACATACCTTTATTCAAAACTTTTAGGACGGATAATTTATCCTCTCCCCCTCATATAGATTCATATCATGAGTTATGGGATAGTATTATTAAGAGTACTATGGAGACATTTGGAATGCATAGCACTAGTTTATCAACATTAGAATTTGATTGTAATACAAGCAAATGAACCTCAACAGGTGAATTAAGTAGTGATTGATCAGCATGATATATATTAACAAAAAAAAATTTCGTAGGCTGCAATTGCCCAGACATGGTTGTATTAGTGAAAAACATTTGTCCCTTTCGAGGTGAAGAAAAGTCCCAGGAAGAAGAAGGGGATCCTTCAAATGAATTAGTTGATAAAATCAAAGATTGGACCTAAAGCTCCAAACGAGCCGAGTTTATACTCAGCTCGAGTTCGAGCCAGCTCGCATACATAAAAGTGTTGGCTCGAAATTTGATACTATTTTTTATAAAATCACGTTTTTGCAAATCACCAAAAATAATCGGTAACTAAAAAATTCCGAAAATTTTAAAAAATTCAAATGAGAGATTCATGTTTTAACAATATTTGTACTTCTAATAAAAACCGTTTTTAGGTTCTGACATGTATGCATACAGTCAAAAAACCTTTGTTTTAACAAATTATAATTAAAGCGAATCATAATTAAATTCGCGTCACAATGAATCATAATTAAACTCACGTTCAACAAGTTTAAAAGCTTGTATACATCGCAGTTATTTGCGGAGAATTAAAACGAAATGCAAAATGTTTAAAAATTGTTGAATTGGGCTAGAGTTCCTATCATAATACAAATTCTTCGTTTTATATCCATTTTATTCTCGTTTTATCCGTTTGTTTTATTATTATTCATTTTATTAGTTTTTATTCATTTTATTCGTTTTTACTTGTTTTATTCGTTTTGTTCCTTTTGTTCGTTTTTATTCGTTTTATTCGTTTTATTCATTTTGTTCGTTTTGTTCGTTTTGTTCGCTTTTATTCCTTTTGTTCGTTTTGTTCGTTTTTACTCGTTTTATTCGTTTTGTTTGTTTTGTCCATTTTGTCCGTTTGTTCGTTTTGTTCGGTTTTACTCGTTTTATTCGTTTGTCCGTTTTGTCCGTTTTGTTCGAGTTTACTCGTTTTATTCTTTTGTTCGTTTTTTTTCCTTATGTTCGTTTTGTTCGTTTTTATTCGTTTAATTCGTTTTGTTCTTTTTGTTCCTTTTGTTCGTTTTTATTCGTTTTGTTCTGTTTTATTCGTTTTATTCGTTTTATTCGTTTTATTGTGTTTATTTGAATAAGTTGAGCAGACTCGAGTTAAAACTTGAATTTTCAAGTTCGAGCTGAATTCAAGAAAACAGGCTCTTAAATGGGTCAAAGTATTAGGATTAATGATTCGCTACTTAAAAAATTTTTATGTAACGTCAAACTCGAGCCAAGTCGGGTCGAGCTCGACTCGAAAGTCTCGGGCCTATTATTTCTTAGCTCGAGCTCGGCTCGAAACTCGAAATTTCGAGCTTAAGCTCGAGCCGGCTCGGCTCGTTCGGAGCTTTAATTGGACCTATGGATATTCACCATACATTTTTGCATACTATGCTGTTGGTCCTCTAGTCACATTTTTTATTTTGTATAAGCCTGAAAATAAGAAGAGAAAACTGGAGATTTGTTCTGAACAGATTGCAGAGTTTGATTTAGGGCGTTGTTAGACAGAATTCGCACTATTAATTTCCTTCAAAATATTTGTGAGTGCTTTTTGAGCTTTAAATTATTATCACAAAATACCAATTCATCATATGGTTATTTTAGGTTGTATATTACCTTTTATAGTGAATTTATGCCCTGCAAGGGATTCACCAGAATTTCAAACAATTATTCGACCAAATGGAACCATTATTGAACTCAGGTATGCAATTAAGAAAAATTTGCAGATGAAAAACAAGTTACACATTTAAAAGAAATTTATGTGTAAGGTAGAGTTGGCATAAATACAATATTTTTATTATTATGTATACATATTATATTTATACATTTTTATGATGTTCAAACAGGGTATGCATGAAATTAAGCCTAAACCAATGATATTCAATGGCCAACACTATTCACCATTATAGGAGGTATCAATGTTTCATTTTAATTGACTTTGACTATGCTACCTTTTCCCCTGATGATAGGCCTTTAAAAGAATTTTCTGAAAGTTATTATGCCCCTGAAATGTTAATTAAAAAGCATTGATATATGGGGTGTTGGTGATTTGGTTAGTTCATGTAATGTCGTAGGCATTCCTCAAGAACTTTTAAGTTTCAATTTAGATTTATGTAAAAGTGATCCAGATAGTTGACCAACTGCTTCAGTTGCTCTTAATCAGGCAAAAGATATGCCCAGGAAGGTGATTATTTATAACTGATTAATATATATTTGTTTTTTGTTTTGCTTGTAACACATCTTAACAAAAAAGTTTAAAAATTCAATGGTTTCCAAATGGTGCTTGGCTGGAAAAGATTGATGTATTTGGACTAGCTTAAATTAAAGTAGTAGAAAAAATAACATTGGCATATTACAGTCAGGATTTTTTCCAAATTTGGAATTTCTAAATACTGTAATGATCAACATTCTGGAATGCAATTGAAAATTCTAAAATTGTGTGCAACATTCTTAACCCCTTAAAAAAATATTTTTTTCCCTCAGTATATTAATATATATATAATATATATATATATATAAACAGTACCTTAGCAAAAGTTTTGGACACCCTAAATTCATCATTTATGCAAAAATATACATAATAATTGTATAGGAAATTTATGTTAGTTTATACATCCGGAAAATATAAAAAAATTTTACACATGTCAATTGTAAGTTTAATAATAAAAAAGTGTAAAACTTACGTTGGCACTGTAAGATTTACACAATATTATGTTGGCATTGTAAGATTTATGCAAGTTTATGCTAAATTAATTTCCTGATGACTATTGTTTCACAGCAATGTAGTCATCTACATTGAGGAATGCATTAATAAACTGTGTAGATGTTGTGGATGCATAAAAAAAAACCTTAGTTCCTCAATGACCTTTAGATGCACGTACAGCTTGCAAATCAACAATATTTAGAAGATCATGCATGGAATTAAAATTTAAAAATTCATATTTGGGACATACTACATACTGCAACAAAACCAGACAAAGTGAACATTGGTATTACCAGGGATTTCAAGGATCAAATTTAGTATTTAGTCATTTGTAATATGATTATATAATTAATAGTTTTATAATATCCCATTTGTTATCTTAAGTAATATATAGAATTGCCCCTATATAAAAACTATTAATATGAAACTCATTTACATCAGATCTACTATGGAACCCAAGAATTATAGAACTATCAGAAGTATTTTGAAAAAGGAACAAGGTGAAAAAATTGCTCCTTACA